CCTTGAACATTGACATTATTTCATCTGAAATCTATTTTCTTCACTTGATCAAAGTTGATCTGCGTCATACATCTTACAACGGATGTCTCGAATTATTGGTAACGTTCAGCACTTAGCATTAACATTACAAATTATAGGTAACTTTGATTCAACGTTCCATCCAAGCTTCTTCATTGCTGGAGCTATATCACTTTCAAGTTACATTGCTTGAACTAAGACATTCTTGAATTACACTCGGGATGAGCTTAGTTTGAAAGCACACAACATAATTTTTTAATTATTTTGATAACCCACAGGATATCTAGAAGCTACACGCACTGGCTACAAAGCCCACAAGTCTTGAACATTCAAATATGAATAGGAACAGCTTTGTTTCGCACAGATTTCGCACATGGCGGGATGGCGCCATTCCGTCCAACTCATACAGCCTCAGAAATTACAACAACACACTCAACTTACGGAATATCCGTCAAACAAATCTTATTTACGACGACACGAGCCAATGCTAACAACGCTTGCCAGTTGCGCTAGAGATATTGGAGTGGAGACGTCAGAGAAAAAAAGTCTTTAGATTTCTCCCATTTCCCCACGTAACGTTGAACGGCCGTTGCGGCCTTATCTGGTATGCGACGGCCTTATCTGGCATAAAAAAATATCTCTAGAAGTCTCTAGCTAGTGTTAAGCCTATGGACTTATAGGGAAATGTATCCGAGTACTTGGTACTGCCTCCTCCAGGTACTGGCTGGCAGACGGATCAACTTTGGAGGCCCACCATTTGGAAATTAGGCAATTTTGAGACGAATGACTTCGGATTGGGGCCTCAGCCACCTTCTTCTACACGTTTCACTGAGTAACTCCGAAATTTCGGAAAAAACCCTGATAATACCTTTAAGGAAAAATCCGAGGTATACAAGTTATGAGACTTCTAATGGATACTAGGTCCTGCAAGTTTCATTTCCTTGTTAAAGCTCCTCTGGCAGTGAGGGCGTTGCGAAGTTGTGACACCTGTTTAGACCGTGCAGAGGTTCACTTATGACATCATAGGTCAGTTACCTGACCTGGCCCGAAAATGCGGTTGCTGTAAAAAAATCCGGCTTGAATCAAAAGTCAAGTATGCCAAGTTTCAGCTCTCTATCGCCGGCGTGTTCGGAGCTATCGCGAAAAAAAAACCTATGGGGGCGGCACCCGCCCCCTCCCCCCTCGGCCGGCGAGGGTTAACCCTATTAGTGGCAGGCTCCTGGCTAACCCGCGCCGCGTAGGGGGAAGGGCCGAAATGCCCCCCCCCCCATCCTCTTCCGTGGATATCTCCTAAACGACTGCATATATCGCCACCAAACTTTCAGGACCCCTGCGGGCATCCATTTCACACATATTGTGACAAAAACGTTTCCAAATGCTATAAGTTGGCCACAAATGACGTCAGAATGACGGCATGTTCTGCCATTTTCGACGCAACAAAAGGTTTCGCAGGAAGAGCTGGCACGCTTGCAGCTTTGGAGATACAGAAAAATGTACTCTAAATAAAAGGTGTAGAATCACCAGGGCCATACAACTCTTATCGCGGATTTGTAAAATTTTTGGATCTGGACTCCCCGAGATCAACATTTGTTTTTGTTGATATGATAGCCAAAAATCCCAGAAATTGGTCTGTGCTGCTGTCCCTTGGTCCTTGTTATTGTCTCTTGGTCCCTGTTATTGTTGTCCCACTGGTCTGGTCCGTGGCTTTGTTCCAGTCATTTTCATTGTCCCGCTGGTTCATTTCATTGCCCTGATCGTCTTATGGTATTATCCCACTGGTCCGTATTGCTATCCCAGTCGTCTTTTATTGTCTCATGGTTTATAATAACACGGAACAAAAATGATAGACGAACGCGTTTCGGCTAAATCACCGTCATCAGCGTCTAAAAAGGAGAGCAAGAGGCACACATCGAGCAAATATCACAGTTCAATCGTTTTGATTTTTACATACACTTTTAAACAAGCATGTGACAATGTGGTTACATTTCCTTTGATAAAGAGAAAATATCCTAAAAGAATCCTAAGAGAATAGCCACATTGTACAGTTTACACAGGTGTTGCACAATTCATATGTGGATGTTTAAAATGCCAAACAACGCCGCTGCTTTTGCCCACTTCATGAAACCCAAGATACCTAAAAGAAACAGGTAGGTCGGGTGTTTTGAGTAAAGCCCTGGTGACGTCACGGACATTTCTTATATGGAGAATTTCGCCTTTAAGGAAAATATTCTACAAACGAAAATTTGTATTTTATAAGCAAAAAATACAGTCTTTCAATTTCAATATGAAACTTACATAACTTAATTACAAAACTTGAAATCCTTTTGAGTGTTTGTCCCAACCCCCTGCTATACCCTTGGTCGCGTGACTGAAATGATAAACTTTGCGTTTTACAATGTTATGACTTAAACAGAAGTAATAAATATTCAAAATGTACTATTTATGATGTTTTAGGCAGAAATCGTGTAAATATATCCTTAAATTATATATAATCTGTTGAAAAGAAGTCACGTGATGTTACCAGATTGTGCTCGGACAGCATCTTCTTGAACTTCGATTTCGAGTACTTTGTACCTCCATAGAGGCCTAATAACGGACGTTTTCAGTTATAAAATGAAGCGCTGAATCTAATAAGGGCAAAATGTAATCATTTGTTGCCCTTCAGGCTTGGCTATCCAGGCATGAACTTTGGCCAGTTTGTGTGCAAAGCCTATGGTGAAGGGAAAACTTCACGCCCAGCTGACGTCACAGACCTCGGCTACCAAATCGTGTCCGGTGGGGGTCGATGAAACCAACCCTGACATTAATGGTATCACTCGTAGCTATAAACGCCGCTTCAGTAGCTTTTCTGTTGTCGCGATTACTGCATGACGTGAGTACCCTTGCCCCGTCCCAGTATGGGAGATGGTTTGAGTTCTGAGCATGTAGAACAAACGCACTGTGTTGCATGTTATTTCGTAGGTCACGTCTGTGTTCTTTTAATCTCGTTCCAATGCCCCTTCCCGTCTCCCCGATGTATTTCTTATTGCAAGACCCGCATGGAACCTGATATACAACGCTGTTGCCATTATCCTTTTTGTTACTTTCTCTATTTCTTGATAGCATGTCACCCACCTTTTTACCCGAAGTAAAGGACACTTAAAAACCTATAGTCTCGAGTTCTTTCGCAATCGTTGTGGCCGTGGTCGAGTTCGGCATCGTGATGTATCGTTCGTCTTTTTTCTTGGTTTTTGTTGTTGAGGATCGTTTTCGTATGTTAAGGGCCTTTCGCTTAAGATCCAATAAATATCCTTTCGGATATTTCAGCTTCATGAAGGAAAGCATGATATGCTCGATCTCGTCATCCACATATTCTTTACTACAAATTCGGAAAGCGCGTAGAAAAAATCCCAAGACAACACCACTCTTAACCCTATCACTATGTCCAGAATAGAAATGCACATATGACTCTTTGTTGGTTGGTTTTCGGTAAACTTTGAATTTCGCTCTATCATTACGTATAATCATCGTATCGAGGAACGCAATGGAACCCTGTTTTTCCTTCTCAAGAGTGAACTGAATCTTTTCATTCACCGAATTGAGTTCATGCAGCTTGACCTCCAGGTCGAGACTTTTTGGTGTCACCACGAGGACATCGTCGACGTAGCGAGTCCAAATCACTCCCTCTCCCATGATCCTTTGATAATGATTTTTCTCCAGCCACTCCATAAATAAACATGCTGCCACGGGGCTCAGCGGGGATCCCATCGCTAGTCCACTATGCTGTAAGTATTCGTCAGAGTTAAATTTGAACCCCCCGAAGTTCAAGCAAATATTAACTAGTTTAAAATAATGGCCTCCAAAGCAGCTTCTACAGATACATTTGTAAATAAAGATTTTACATCGAATGTAAAATCGATAAGTGTCTGGCCAGCTTCGATGTAAAATCTTTATTTACAAATGTATCTGTAAAGTCAAAATAAAATAGGTGTAGGACTAGGTGCTAGGTAGGTGGGTTGTATGCTTCGGAGCTTGTCGGTTGGCAGCAAGGCTAGTTCGCAGGTTTAAGGTAGGGAAGTTGTAACTTGTAGGTACAGGTAGGTAGAAGGTAGATAGGCTGTAGGCTGGTAGGTAATAGGTGGTAGGGTAGAAAGTAAGATTAGGTAAGGTAGGTAATGATAATGTTTTTCTTTCATTCAGACTTCTTAAACACTTTACGCAAGAGTAAGAGTAGAAGTCGGAATGAAGGAAAAACAATTAAGCCTGAACCAAACATTTTTTTCAGAGTCCTTGAACTGGTATACTTTTACCAGCTAATGAAAATTGAAATTCCTGCTCTTCTAGGGCTCAACAAATTAAAATCAAAATGAAAGTTGTGTCAATATTAACAGTAAAAACATCTATTCATTGACAACTTTGGCAAGTGTTTCAAAATCAGGCAACAAATCCACACAGCCTTGCTTTTGATGCCCACCGGGCTAGCGTTGTTATATCCAACTTACAAGTACCTAAACCAGCAAAATTAGACAACCCAAGATTCCTTACTTCCAGTGTTATGTCCTGACTCCTGCCTTGCTTAAAACAGAAAAAATCATAACCACAATACAGCAACTCAGCTTTCATCACGGCGCCAGTCCCTTTCTTGAAAGCATTCAAACTTGTTTGAAAATTGGACAAGCGCTAAGCGCTACTCGCGAGAGTCCACTCCTGTTTTGCTACGTGTTCATGATCACGGTGATACCTCTCATAGACGTGCGCCGAAAAGGCCCGCTCAAAATCTTTGATGCGTTGGCTCCTGGGGCCTACAAAATCCACAGTGAATGCTCCCTGGCGGCTGGGGCGTCAGCTCAGCGTTGTCCCCTCGTGTCACCAGCATCCGATTGGTTCGCTCAGGGTTATTCTCGCCGCGGATTGGCTGGTTAGTCTGTTCGCTAGCAGTGTGCGAAAACGCCGTCAACAAATGCGATGCAGTGCGTTCACCATTTTCGTGACTTTGTCACCAAATGTCTCTGGTGCCTGTCAGCTTCTGTCGCCTACAATGTAAGCGAGTAGGAAGTTTTTTTGACCTCTGGGCTCAGGTCCAGGTCAGCTTTTTGTCGCTCAGGTTACGAGCCTGGTCCAGGGAGGTATACGCGTAGCATATCAAAGACCGTGGCAGAATGACAGGCCGGCCGCCGGCCGGCCGGAGACTGAGCACCGTGGTCCCGTATCAGCATCCCCGCTGGTCGTGCCGGCAGGTGGTGCAGCGGCGCCGCGGCCGAGCGCTGACGGCGCTGCCACTGCTACTGTCGCTGCCGCTGCTGCTGCTGTCGCTGCTGCTGGCGGCCGGACGCGCCACCGGCTTCTCACCGTCAGGTGAGTGCACTGGGCTGGACTCGCACAGAGGTGAATCGCTGCCCGCAGCATCAGCACCTGAACTGGCGCCGCTGCCGATCTTGGGCGGCACTGGGTCGTCAGTCGCTGGAGGACGGCGGCCGGACAGTACCTATAGCACACACGTGTTTTCACCATGGGCCCCGACACCTGTCCACCGTCCACTGTCCGCCGTCCACCGTCCACCTATCCACCTGTCCACCGACGCCGTCCACCTTCCACTATCCGCCGTCCACTATCCGCCGTCCACTGCACTGTCCGCCCGCCGCAGCCTCTGTCGGCCTTCATATATATCCTGCAGCGACGATGATGGTGACACCCATTGATCCGCGGCCTATTCAGCGGCGCCGCTCATAGCGGGCGTTTACGGGTGACGGTGGTGATCATTACCCGGCGCGGCACTGTCGGCGGCACCGTGCCGCGCGGCGCACCAACTCAGTACGGCGCGGCACTGTCGGCGGCACCGTGCCGCGCGGCGCACCAACTCAGTACGGCGCGGCACTGTCGGCGGCACCGTGCCGCGCGGCCGGTCGGCACCAGCGGGGCACCAACTCCGTACGGCGCGGCGGGCCGCTTCTCAGCGGTACTGCAGACCTGACACGGCGCCCGGCCCGGTCAGCGTCCAGACGCCGTTGCACACTGGGCCGGGGGTCCGGAAAAGTGCTAGAAATTATTTGTGATTGAGTTGTTGATCTCAGTGACAAGTAAACATGCTAAAAACGAAGTGGGGCTGCTTAACCCTCGCCGGACCTATTGTCGGACCCCCCACCCCCTCGGCCGGCCGAGGGGGGAGGGTTGGTACGACCCCTTTTTGCCGTTTCGCCCCTAATAGAGCTAGAGCCTCGCGGAAAAAACAAGCGTGTGCGCCGTTTCAAGGCGGAACGATTGATACCCGATTTTAAGGTTCCAGGTCAACCGGTAACCTCTGAGGTGAAGTCAAAAAGCCCAAGGTAGGGTTTGGTTTTTGGCAAATAATTTCGCAAAAAATGGCCGCAGAGCAGCGATTTTGGCACCATCGTGTTCGCCTGGCTCAGGCGCGTCGAATGGTATACTTTTTGTTCGGGTGAGGTCAACTTAAGGTATTGACCTCGAGTCAAGGTCAGTTCAGAGCCCATCAGGCCACGAACTTAATCGAAGGAGGTCGTATCGCATATCATTCGATTCGGGAGGTCTTCCCGAGTCCATTGGTGGCTTTCCCGAGTCGCTGGCTCAATTTGATCATGAGTTATTGACGAGAAACTCCTATGACTGGTGTGACGTCATAAATGACGTCACGGAAGGTCAAAAAATGCAAAAGTAAAGCATCGGATCTTGCAAGGAGTGCACGAAATCACGATTCCGTGTGCTTGAGATAGTTTGAAATCATTCCATGCGCAAAAACAACAGATTCCTTATTTCCCCATTCACTTTTAATGGTGAGGTCACGTGACCTCAAAGAGTAGCAGGCATTAGCAAAAATTGCGAGTAGGGCATGACAGAAAGATGATTGGTGGTTTGTATGGCATGGCCATTTTTAACGGCTCGAAGTAACATTTCTCAAAAAGTCTAACTAAAGAGCAAGTTGTTGTTGATTATCACTGACTTGTGTTTAGGGGTTAATAATGACTGAATTTTTGAGTTTGGCCCAGAAATGTTGACAGCATTGTGTGCGTTGATCAATTGTGAGCTCAGGGACATATATTTCATTTAGATTATAAGCGTTTGTTTTTCACAACTTCCAGCGTTTTAACCCGCGCACCGACGGGGGGGGGGGCGGATATCCGCCCCCCCCTGAGGTTTTTCGCGGATAGCGGGAAAACCGCGGCGCGTAGCGCGAAATTTGGTATGACTATTCTCTTATTAATTTTACACATGGTGTGCAAGTTTGAACCTCCTAACTTTTAAGGTCAGGTCACCAGGTCACTTTGAATGACCCAACCTCAAGTCACTTTTTTGCAACTTTGTCACCGTGCCAGAGCTACAGTAGATGTCGGAGGCCTTTGAAAGTCGCAGGATGTTATTAGGTCATTAGTAGCTACAATTTGTATATCTCGGAATTTTGATGTCGGTGACCTAAGGTCAGGTCAATTTCGCGACCTCCCCATTATAAGTCAATGGGGGAAAATCAACTCCCTGTTTTTACCACTAAAACGGGTCGGAATGGCCCCATATACCATACATGACTTCACATACGATCAACCTTCACTACCTTGAGGTCTGTTTTGCTGTTGGGCAGCTGTAAGGTCATGTGACGTCATCAAAGGTCACCAAAGGTTTTTTGCCAATAACTCCTTACAGGAACAAGATACAGCCGCGCGGATGGTCTCATTGTGTTCAGCTCGTCAAGACGCATCGAATGATATACATGATGACCTCGAGGTCACGTGACCTGAGGTCAACCTTTGACCTTGACCTTTCGAGGTCAACATATATATCATTCGATGCGGATTGACGAGAGGATCACGATGATGCCCTTAGTTTGTTCCTATCTTGACTACTTCGAAAGTTATTTGAGAAAAATCCTCTCCATATCTAGCGCCGCCATTTTGACTTTTTCGACCCCTGTGACGTCATCTTTGACCTGACCTGAAAATGACCTTAGTAAAAATTGTAGACCTTGTCCGCGCGTATCCGATGCCGTTTACCGCTTGTCGCTATCTTGCTTCGTTCTCGAGATCTCAGGGGGGGGGGCGGTCATCCGCCCCCCCCCCCGTCGGTACTAAGTTGGCGCAGACCCCCGTCGGTGCGCGGGTTAAAGAGCGCCGGGCCTTCAGTAGAGCGGCGAGGTGACAATTGCCCCTACATTATGTGGTTTACTGGCGCATATCTCGAAAAGTAGCAGGGAAAAGCAGCAAAGCACCTATATGGAACAAAAGATGAGTAATCAGAGGCTAGTATGAAATGTTCATTTTTAGCCGCTCGAAATAACGTTTTTATAAAAGTCTAATTAAAAAATTGGATATGATTTTAAATTTCGTCTTGCAGCTGCTTGCAAACAGCTAGCTTATCTTGCAGAAAAGCGATGCAATATGTCAGAATGATGTTGGCACAGTGAACAACAGTGCCCTGAACTAGTCTGACAGGAAATTACGTTCAAAACGACGATTGGTCAACAAATAAATTACCACTTAAGTTCATCATTAAAATCGGTTAATGTGGTGGCCTATAGAGAGTCTAAATTGTCTTGTGTTTGGTGACATCTGACGACCTCAATTTTGACCTTAGGGAAAAACTAGCATCGGAATCGTATTCTTCGATCAATTTGGGATTAAATGATACCTATTTTGTTCATATTGCGGACAGTCAGTTTGGGGGAATTTCTAGCGCTTTTTCAGGCTGCCGGCCTACAGTGCGTTGGCGGGCTCGGGAGAAATGCAGCACCGTCTCCACATGCAGTGGCGTCTGGGTCAGACTCTTCAGGACTGTTGCGGCTGACTGTCTGCCGGCCGGGTCCTGGACAGGGCGGGGTTTGGGTCAGGTCGGGGTCTGAATGTCCGCCTCGCCACACTAGTGACGATGGGAAGTAAGGTTTGCTGATACTACCTAATGATGCCCACACTGAGCTGCTTCCGTCTGCTGTGTACTGTATGTACAGTAGGGTGTGTCATTTTGGGCACTTTTTTCGCAAAACATGGTGCTCCACTGATTTTATCGTGCCCCAGACACGTAGAAACCGTGTGACATTTTTTATTTCCCCCAAATATTAACACCCATGCGGCGCCGACCGCCGACACTTTGGCCTATCTCTCAGCATTAGCGACCTCAGCGCCCCTAGCGGCAATGTTTTGAACTAACACGCTCGCTATGCTTTGTGAGCTTACGATCATCATTAAATGCATTTTACCGAAATGACGCCTTGCTGTTGGCTTGTCTGGCACTCAGAATGTTGGTGAAAATGTGATGTTATGCATCTTAAAGCACGAAATAGTTCTGTGTTAATGTATATTGCATAATACTACCCCAGATCCCCGTCCTGGTCTGACGGGATACGTACGAGCGCATGTTTATAGTGCCTGCTATTAGGTGTCACATGTTTTTTTTGTAGCGTCGTTCACTGCATAGACCCCGGGGAACAGGAGGGGGGGGGGGGCAGTGGGGGCGCTTACCCCCCCCCCTCCAACTTGAGAGCCGAGTGGGCGCCGCCCCCTCAACATTGATGCAACGATGGAGGATCTCTGCTCCCTTTTATGGACCTACATGTCTGTTTTTATATAAACATCAGCACAAGGTATTTCTCTTGCATGTGAATGGTTTCTGCTGATTCGGCATCGATTTAAGAACACCTGCTATTGTCATCCCACTTTGATTTTATCTGAACTTGATCATAACTTTGGTAGGTCAGATTTTATACTGGACCATTTTGGTTCCGGATGGTATTTGATTTGGCGTGATGAGAACATTATGACGTACAACGGTGGTAAAGTCGTTGATTGATACAGGTTTACTCGCTCCGGTGGGAGGCAGTAGCGGCGGAACATCTTCAATTAAAGGGAGGGGGGGGGGACACTGCCGACTTTTGGTCCCATTCTTTCCATGCAACGCCCATAGGGCTAATGTTAAAATGCCCAAATCAGAGGGGGCACGGTGCCCCGGTGCCCTCCCCGTTCCGCCGCCTATGGTGGGAGGGCGTCGTGTGGGACTCAGAAGGAGACTTATGGCTTGTGTTGTGCCTTTGGTAGGACCCTCAGTATCACCGATGCAGGGCCTTCAGAGCCTCCAATTAGGGGCCTTTAGAGGCACTGGTGTGGGGTCCTCACAGACGCCCGTGTGGCCCCTCAGAGGTGCTAGTGTGAATCCCTCATAAGCGCCGGTGAGGGTCCTCACAGAATACAGACGCCGTTGTGGACCCTCAGAGACACTGGTGTGGGTCCATTACATGTGGGTGTGTGGCCCTTAGAGCTGCTGGTGCGGACCCTTTAAAAGTCGGCAGGGGGCCCTCAACGACCGGGGAGGGGGACCTCAGACCGGCAAGGGGCCCACAGAGGCCGGCGGCATTTTCAGAA